CTTTTATCTTCATGCTGTATGTTCACTGTAGATACCCGTGTTGGCAGCTCCTCCCTCAACCAGGAAATGTGTCATTTGTATTCTTAAGTCTACAAACCCCTTTCCTCACAGTCCCCCTAGAGAGGAAGGTCATGGAAAGTGCTCCCATCCCTATTTTAAAGATGAGGAAACTGTATTCCAAGAAGCAAAGTGACTAAAACATGTAAGCCTGGGGAACTCCCTTCCTCCATAGACTGCAGTCAGCCTATGACTTAGTTTTAATCAATCAATAAGCATTTGTGTTTCAATCAATCAATAAGCATTTATTGAGCACCTACTATGTGCCATGCACTGTGCTAAAAAGTGCTAGGGATTCAAATGCAAAGGCAAAAAACCCTGCTGTCAAGAAGCTCCCAGTCTAATGGAGACAACACGCAAAATGACCGGATACAGGATCAACCAGGCAGGATCTATAGAGCTGGGTCCCACAGAACGGATCGGGATGGGGGTTGGACCAGATGGCCACTGGGGTCCCTTCCAATTCTGAAATTCTAGGACTATCTACTCTACTACGCCGGCCCCTTTACATTAATATAAGGTGATTTTGGGGGGTGGGGTCCAGACTTACCATTTCATCCGTGTGGGGAACTTTTTGGGGTAGGTTTGTTTTTATTTAAAAATTTTTTCTTTTCTATTCTAAATTCTCCCCTCCCTCTACTCCCTCCCCCCTACCCCCCACCCCCACACTGGCAGGGCACTCCTAATATGGAAACTCTGCCCCCACCGATGCAGATCAGTAATCGATGCCTCCTTCAGAATCTTAAAGAAGCCCAGTAGTGACAAGTGATTCGCCAGCGGTCATGTGTCAGACGCAGGACTGAACTTTTTCAAGTCTTCCTGACACCAAGGTCAGTCCTCCATACACACCATCAGTGGGTCAAACTCAAAAGAGAGGGATCTCTGCCAGCAGCAGACTTACTTAGAAAACTACAAATCAACATTTTCTAGGTTCTGTTGTATTCTTACTTCTTTTGTTAAACATTTCCCAATTACATTTAAGTTTTGCCTGCGGTGAGTTTGACATGTGCCCATGCCACCTCTTAGAGCAATTCTATTAACATGAGATATGATATAATGTGATGATATAACATAATTTGGCATAATATAACATAGTAGGACTGAGATTCTCAGCTCTGGCATTCCACGTCAGAATAGAAGAAACCAAGGCCTCTGGTCCAAGCCCCCGTGTGCCTAGATTACAGGTACTTATGTGGCCTCCCAGTCCCTCAGGGCCTTTCTCTCAGCCTGCCATTCCAGACTCCAACTGGAGAGAAGTGACTATTAAATGCTAATATTGGGCAATACTCAAAGAGAGCAAACAAGATGCAGAGCCTTCCAGCTCTGATACTCCATGCCAAAGTAGAGGAGACTGTAGAACTATGGTGTCAAACTCAAAGAAAAATGATTTCTGCAGCTGCATTTTGGCTTAGAAAAACACAAATTAACATTACCTGTGTTCGCGTGCATTTTTATTTGTTTTGTTAAACCTCTCCCAATTAGATTTTAGTAAGATTCTGGCCAGGCCTGACACCTCTGCTTTAGAGACCCTCCAGTCCAAAGGTTTGGACTGGAATCCTCTGGCGGTCATTCCGGTGAAACTTGTGGGCGTCTTTTCAGAATTATGCATAAAATAAACTGTATGGGTTTACAAAGGAGACCAATTTTACTGAAATACAGTTACAAAAATACTTTTATTTTATTTTTTTGCTTTTTGGTGAGGCAATCAGGGTTAAATGACTTGCCCAGGGTCACACAGCTAGTAAGTGTCACGTGTCTGAGACTGGATTTGAACTCACGTCCTCATGACTCCAAGACTGAGCTCTATCCAACCGCACCACCTAGCTGCTCACTAGAAATACTTTTTAAAAACCAAACCAAAGTCCAGTTCCAAGTGCACAGAAAAAACCCCGCCCTAGTCTGGCCCTGGCACAACCTGACCCTGGGTACTTCTCCTTCCCTGGGGATCTTCAGCCTGCTAGGTGTCATAGGGTCCCATGTGAAACCTGGAGGGGCCATCTGCTCCAAACTCCACTCTCTTACAAAGAGAATAACCCAGGACCAACAAGGGTAAGTGACCTGCCCGAGATCATGAGGGAGCCATCAGTATGTTGTGGTGGTCATAGTGCTGAGTCTGCAGTCAGTTACTCCTTCGGTCACCCTGGGGAAGTCCCGTGCCCTCTCGGCCTCAGTTTCCTCCCTGATAAGATCAAGGTCTCCAAGGTCCCTACTAGCTCTAAGAGAACGGTGAGAGAGACACTAGGTCAGTCACTCCAGTCCCTGGGTGAGAGTCCAAAGCTACAGGACAGTGGGAAGAGGGTGAGATCTGGAGTCAAGGTTGGGTCACTCAGACCCTCAGTGGGCATCTTATCCAGTGCCCTCATTTTACAGATGAGCAAACTGAGGCCCAAGGGATGAAGTGGCCTCTCCCAAGGTCACACAGCTGCCAAGAGCTCAGAGATGACCAGGGACATCTCCACATGTCCAGAACAGAACTTCCTCTCTTTCCTTTCCCTCTCTGTCAAGGGCCAGACCATTCTTCAGGCACCCAGTGCTGCCACCTCACTGTCATCCTCAGTTTCTCACTCTCCCTCATCCCACACAGTCAATCAATCTGTCATGGTCTCACCATTCCAGCCTGCATTGCCCCTGGTGCCCGGCACGTCTCTCCCGCCACACACCACTCCCTGAGTTCAGGTCTTCCAGGTCTTATCTGAATCACTACAAAGTTTTCTAATTGGTCTCTTTGCTTCTAGTACACAGCTGCCAAAGTGATTTTCCTTAAGCGTAGATCTGACCATGTCACTCCCCTACTCAATAAACTCCAGTGGCTCCCTATTGCCTCTAAAGGTAAACTTCTAAAAACCCTTCACAGCCTGGTCCCAATTGCCTTTCCAGCTTCCCCCACCCCCTACCTTCCAATCCAGCCAAACTGGCCTTCTGTCCCTTCCATAGGATGCTCCATATCCAGTCTCCAGGCCTTTGCACTGGCCATTCCCCATCCCTGGAATGCCCTCCCTCTTCCCCTCTGCCTCACAGAACAGCTCAAGCAGCACTTCTTACATGAAATATTTTCTAATACTCCCAAGTGACAGTACCCTCCCTCCCAAACTACTTTATGTTTCTTTGTATTTATTCTCTTCAGATTTATTCTGCAAGAGAGTTTTCTCAAGTACTGAGACGTTAAGGGAGTCACCCAAGGTCACACTGCCCCTGTCAATCAGAGATAGAACCTGAATGCAGGTCTTCCTGTTCTGAGGCCAATTTTCTACCTTCAAGCCCTGTTTCTTCTCTGGCAAAGAAGGTGCTGATCTGCCCTGCTACAGGGATCTCCTCCTCTGGGAGTTCCCTGGACCAATGAATTCCTAGGTCCATCCCTAGCCCTACACTTCTACAAGGCACCCTGAAAGTCTTAGAAATAAACTGCCTATGCTACAAATTTACAAAAACAACATTGGAGGAAAGCTTAGCTATTTAAATTTCTTTTACACTGTTGTGAATTTCACATAATAAGTTTTTAATGTTAACAGACACACCCCCACTGTTAGGCATGACACATGCAACAGTGTCTGGGTGACACCTCCTCAGCCCAGTGGATCTGTGGAGGGCGGCCCCTGATCTCTCTACACTGAACTTTTTCATGTCAAAACTGTCATGGACTGGGGCTGCTTAGGGGGCCCAGTGGATAAAGCACCGGCCCTGGATTCAGGAGGACCTGAGTTCAAATGCGGCCTCAGACACATATAATACTTACTAGCTGTGTGACCCTGGGCAAGTCACTTAACCCTAGCCAAAAAAAAACTGTCACGGTTGCTGCCAGGTGTGGTTCTCCGGATGACCCGAAGACAGGAGTACACACGAAATCGAAGTCACTGAGCAGCGACTGATGGAAGTTTTCACAAAGTGAGAAAATCAACTAGAGTGCACAACAGTGGGTTTGAATTTTAATAAGAAATACTTCAATATTTTAAATGAACCTCTCAAAATTTTTCGGTTAGTTCACAATATTTAAATTTCTTAAATTACTAAAGCTTAATAAATGCTTGTATATTAACTAAGGAAGGATTCGAACCCAGGTCTCTTGACTCCAACGTCCACGCTAGTTCCACTACACCTTGCCTCTCAATGCCATCTAGCCTGGCATTGAAATGACCCTCAAAGGCCACTGAGGTCAACCCTCTCATTTTACAGATGGAGAAACCGAGGCTCCGAGAGATTAAGAAGTTTGCTGAAGGTGATAAAGGTATCACCTCTGACTCCAGGGATCTATTCTGTGTCCCATTCCTGTACTCCCTGTGTGTCCTTGGGCAAGCTGCTTCCTTTCTCTGGGCCTCAGTTTCCTCCCCTGTAAAATGAGGGGGTTGGCTCAAGACAGCTTTTAACATTCCTTACAACTCTAGACCTCGCCGGGCCTCAGTTTCCTCCTCTGTAAAATACCAGGGTTAGGCTCAGTGGCCTCTACAGCCCAGCTCCGGATTATGATCCGGTACTATTACTCTGTGCCTCAGTTTCTCCATCTGTAAAACAGAGAAGGGGTGGGCCGGATGTGACCTCCGAGGTCCATTTCAGATCTAGATTATTAACCTACAACTCCTCTGGGCCTCGGTTTCCCCATCTGTAAAATACCTGGATTGGTCTTGATAGCCCCTCCCCCTCCGTGGGCCTCAGCTTCCCCATCTATAAAACGCCAGGCCTGGTCTCCACGACCCGCCTTCGCCAGGCCCCTCCCCCTCTCTGGGCCTCGGTTTCCCGGTCTGTAAAACCAGGCTTGGCCGCGACGCCCCCTCCCCCACAGCCCCGCCCCTCCGTGGGCCTCAGTTTCCCCACCAGCCTAGGCCGTGACGCCCGCTCCCTCCGTCGGGACCCTCTCCCGGCCTGGGCCTCGGTTTCCCCCGCGAGGCCCCCCGCGTCCCCCCCGACCCGGTCCCGCGCCCCGCGGCCCAGCCACCGCGCGTCGGCCTCACCTCGGCGCTCCTCCGCGGCCTCAGCCGCCGTTTCAGCCGGCTCACAGCCTCTGCCGCTAAGCGGCGCGCTCTCCGGCCGTTGTCAAGGGGACGGATGACGTAGGACGGCTGGCGGCCAGGGACAAACCTCGCGCGGACGCGTTTCCTTTGGCTGGGTCACAGACGAGAAGCGGAGCTCCGGCTGCCACAGCGCCCCCTAGCGGGAGGCGGCCGGGGAAAAAGAAAGGAGGCTGGAAGTGAGGCAGCGTGGTGGTGCTCCCTATAGGACCTTCCATCTCCTGACTCCGCGCCTTTGCACAAGCCATCCCTCAGCCCCCAGTCCAGGAGTGGGGAACCTTCACAGGATGGAAGCTCCTCGAGGGCAGGGTCTGTTTTGGTTTTGTGTCTGTATCCACCCAGGCACAATGCCTTGCACACAGTAGGTGCTTAATAAATGTTTATTTAACTGAATTGAATCCCTCCAGATATCAGAGGGAGAAAAAGTGAGCGGACCCAGGATCAAATCCTCCTTCTGATTCATAGCACCTCTGTGACTTTGGCCAAACCACTCCCCCTCCATTGCCTCAGTTTCCTAATCTGGAAAGTAAGGGGGTTGGATTGTAAGTAAGCCAACACCCAACCAAAGCACGGGGCATCTGAGGTTTTTTCCAGCCCAGTGTCTCGGCTTTGCTATTTCTTTCTCTTGTTAAAGATCTGATTCCTTCATCCATCTATACAACAAGGGGTTGTATACAATACCCTTCTGACTAAAAATAACATGATCCTTCCATTAAATGCCTACTATGCGCCTCCCTGCCCTCCTCCATCTTAGCACCTTCCCTCCTTTGATTATCTCCATTTATCCAGGATGTATGTGGATCGGTTGCAGGGATTGGTTTTTTGCCTGTCTTTGTATCCCCCAATGCTCAGCAGAATACCTGGCACATAGTAGGTGTTTAATAAATGCTTGTTGCCAGAGAGAAATAGAGGACTCGAGAAGGAAAAGGAAGTAATACTAACTATGGGCAGCTAGGTGGCATAATGAATAGAGCATGAGCCTGGAGTCAGAAAGACCTGAGTTCAAATCCAGCCTCAGACACTTACTAGCTGTGTTGGCCCTGGGGAAGTCACTTCACCCTGGTTGCCTCAGTTTCCTCATCTGTAAAATGAGTTGGAGGAGATGGCAAACCACTCCAGGATCTTTGCCAAGAAAACCCTAAAAATGGGGTTACAAGGTCATGAAGAGTTGGACACAACTGAATAACAACAACTCCCCTTCATCAGCCTTGAACGGGAGGCAGAGAAGACTGAAAAAAATGCCACCGTCCTTGCCTTCCCCCATGGGATATTTGCAGTATTTGAAAAGTGCTTGTGCCTAGTGCAATGCCTGGCATATGGTGTTCAGTCATTTTCAGTTGTGTCTGACTCCCGGTGACCCCATGTGGGGTTTTCTTGGCAAAGATACTGGAGGGGTTTGCCATTTCCTTCTCTAGCTCATTTTACTGATGAGGGGGTGGTGGCTGGTTCCTTATGGGTAATCCTGAGTTCTGGGGTACCCAAGGGACAGAGAGCTCTTGAGTTGAAGAATAAGTTATATGCCTCAATTTGCTACTGAAGGACTACCACTGAGCCATAAGGGGCCAGGAGATATGGACCCACTCAATCCGCCATGTTATTTCTGTGTGTAACTTAGGTGGTGCAGGTACAAGGAGAAAGGGGATCATTTGTTCAGCAATCCACAGAACGTCTTTACTTTCTGCAAGGTGTCCAAAGAGTCTGATGGACTATTTGAATGTTTTAGGTTTCTGTACTTGTGCTTTTGCTGTGGTGAGGAAAGAAAAGTTGTCCCATAATTCAATCCGTCAATAAACACTTATTAGCCCCTACTATGTGCCAGGCACTGTGCTATACTCAATATCCACATGGTTC